CGTGGCCAGCCTTGACCTTTAGGCTCCTGTTTGCAGGAGAGGCAGAGATGGGCGACCGGACGGCACTGACGGGACCCTCAGCAGGATTTGGCGATGACTGCACGCGCAGCAGAGGGAAAGCACGTGGCCTACGGGTTCTCGTCTGAGAAGTCACACGGACGGCCGTGAAACCCACAGAGCCCGTGACGTCGTGCGTCATCTCCGCAACAAAACGGAGAGCTAAGCCCCGTGACTCCCGGTATTTTTTAAAATTAGTTGAGGCAGAACACCTCTCCTCTCCATTTGAATCTTCGCACATCCGTGTAGTAGCTGCAGTAAAATCCAATGGCGTTAAGCATCCCTGTTTCAGAAAAACGCGGGGTAAGATAAAGCAGGAGAAAGTGTTTGCATTTCCTTTAGTAACGGGAACTTTCAGATTACAAAACCTATTGGCACACAGTGTAAAGATAAGTAAACGGCTCTAAAGAAAGATAAGTGGATACTAATGAATAAGTAAATAGTTATTTCTAACTTAAAAAGTAATTAATAAGGTGTAACCATGTTCCTATACTGTTCCAGTCAAAATGTCTGTCCACCATACAAAAAAAAAAAAAATCACTAAATATGTGAAGAAGCAGGAAAATGTGACCCGTAATGGAGAAAAAAAGAAAGTGGTCAATAGACACAGACTCTGGAGTTTAAAACGACTATTACAAATATGCCCAAGAATTTAAAGGGAAAATACGATCGTACGATTGGGCACATGGGGAACCTGCGCAGAAAACTAGACTGTACAAAAGACCACATAGAGATCTGAGAAAAGAAAAGCCTCTGTAAAACGAAAAGTTCGCTGGATCGGCTTGACGGCAGAAGAAAGGGTCGGCTGATTCGAAGCCAGATCGATAGAAGCCATCCAACCTGAAGAACAGAGAAAAATATTGAAGAAATCAAGAGAGCCCCGGGGGCCTGAGGAGTGTTGAGCAGACAAACGCATGCATAACAGGAGTCCCGGGGAGCAGGGAAAGAAGGGTGATGCGTAGCGCCCCCCTCCACCGCCCTCCCCTCCGTGGAAGATGAAGCCCAGGGAGCCCCGAGCCATGTGAGCAAGAAGGAAGAGTCAAGGACATCCCAGCCAGGCTGCCGAGGTCTCAAAGCCAGAAACCCTTAAAAACCGCCCAGCGGGAGAGACACGAATGCTCAAAGAAGGTGAGGGGAGCCTGCAGCGAAGGCGGCCAGGGCGGGTGGTGCCCTGTTCGCCCAGGAGCTGTTGGCCGCGTGGGGCAGGAGGCTTCCGCCTGAGGGGCGGTGCACAGAGGAGCGGGAAACAGGAAGGAGCTCGGCTTCGCTTCCTTAAAAAGACGAAAACAAGAGGGAGACTTTGCTTCAGCGGAGGAAGAATCCCGTATGCCTGAGACTCCCAAATGTTTGCTCACGTACAAATGATGGCAGGACAGCACGTGCGTGAATCGGCTCCTGTTCAGACTCCCCCCGCCCTCTCCTCCCCTCTTACTCTGTTGCAGTAAGAACGTGAGTGTCTCATATTTGCCTTTGAAATCTTCTCACGTTTGATATTCCTCATATTAAGATCAAATAAATGTTCATAATATGTGGTTGAGACAAGGATCGTCAATAATACTGAAATGAGGGGGTAAAAGTGTGAGGCACATCAGGGTGGGTCTCACCTCAGGCATGTGTCAGCTGCAGTGGGAACACGACGACATTCGCAGCGACAGACCCGGCGGACGGCGGCTTTGTACGTGAGGCAAGTGCACGGCCCCTGCAGTGGGACGAGTCAGCCATGTGCCTCTTGATGTGACACACTGAGAGGGACACATACCACGCCTGTGCTGCTCTTGCCAAAGTGCAAAACTGCATCTGATACGAGGCAACCTTAGAAGAGCTCAAAGTGAGGGACACTCCCCGAAATACCTGATGGGCACTCTTTCAAACTTTCAATGTTATGAAAGACAAAGAAAGACTGGAAAATTAATTTTTAATTATGGGAGGACAGAGACGTGACAATGATCGAGGCTTTGGTTTTGTTATAAAAATGGTACTGGGAACGATTGGACAAATATGAATGAATTCTTTTGATTAGATATTAGTACCAAGTAAATGTCAATTTCCTGACCTCAGTAGCCATACAGTGATTATGTGAGAGAATGCCTTTGTGGGGATAACGTGTCTACAACTGCCTCTCAAATGATTCAGAATAATGAAATTAAAATATAAGCATAAATTACAGAGGGAATTTGGAGGAGAGCATAGTGAAAAAACAAGTTACATTTGGGGAATCTGGATGAAGGTGTGCATGGTCCCATATGGTATTCTTACAACTTTTCTGTAACTCTGATATACGTCAAAATAACATGTTTAAAAAAAATAAGGGGGGAGGGCCGTTTAAAATGGCAATAGACAACTACGGCCCACTGAAAGGTTTCCTGCCAGTGTTGGTGCGCTTGTATACAGTAGGAGCTCTGACACGTGCTATGCACAGCAGCCGTTCTCACTGGCACGTGGAGTTCATCAATAGTAAACTCTAGGGGCGCCTGGGTGGCGCAGTCGGTTAAGCTTCCGACTTCAGCCAGGTCAAGATCTCACGGTCCGTGAGTTCGAGCCCCGCGTCGGGCTCTGGGCTGATGTCTCAGAGCCTGGAGCCTGTTTCCGATTCTGTGTCTCCCTCTCTCTCTGTCCCTCCCCCCGCTCATGCTCTGTCTCTCTCTGTCCCAAAAATAAATAAACGTTGAAAAAAAAATTTTTTTTTTAAAAATAGTAAACTCTAGGCATTTGCGAAGTTGAGTTTACTAAAGCTTAAACTTTGAACGGTCTCACAACTTACTGTAAACAATCCCTAATCATATTTAAAAACAAAGAGTCTATAGAATTACCCCATAGGGGCGCCTAGGGGGCTCAGTCGGTTGAGCGTCCGACTTCGGCTCAGGTCACGATCTCACAGTCCGTGAGTTCGAGCCCCGCGTCGGGCCGCATAACGACGGTTCAGAGCCCGGAGCCCACTAAGGATTCTGTGTCTCCCCCTCTCTCTGCCCCTCCCCGCTCGTGCTCTGTCTCTCAAAAATAAAGAAACGTTTTTAAAAATGTAGAATTGTCCATCACAATAAATCAAAGAGGACTCGTATTTTTTGGTTCATTCACGAGCCCCGGAGAGGCCGCTGAGCCTGCAGGGCTCTGAGCATCGCTCAGGAATCCGTGCTCTGCGCCAATGCCACGCTTCCTGAAAATGGGGTTGTAGGCTAATGGCCCGACTCGTTGGAACTGCCCTTCCTGAAGTGCCTTCCCAGCATTCATTTGGAAACACACGGGCCATCCTGTGCACGAGCAGAGGGGGCTCCCTCACAGCGGTCCCGCTCCGGCCCCGGACCAGCGTGTCCTTTCAGTAGAGCGAGGACACGAGCGTGCCTGGGCCCGCCTTTCTCGTGCCAGGGCACTGGCCTTTGAGCCTCACTCCCTGGGGACCCCTCCCTCAGCCCAGGCCTCTGCTTTCTCTCAGAATTCCTGCCGGTAAGCGGCAGAGCCAGCTTTGAGCCGCGAAGCTCTGGAAAAGCCGCTGGCTGGTGCACGGACTGGCGGGCAGAGCCGGGGACCCAGGCTCAGACAGCTCGGAAGACGGCCACGTCCCCTGGCCGTGGCTGCCCTTCTGAGCACCGGTGCGGAGAAGCCCCGTCTGGCTGCGGCCCCCGCAGCCGCGGAAGGGGCTCTCGGGTCCTCTCCGCCACCCCCGGCCCCGTCAGGACATGTGCCGCCTGCCCCCTCGCGTGAGGGAAGGAAGGAGGCCTTCCGTGGGTCCGCACGCTCGCCTGTACCCTTGGCGGGGCTCCCGCCTCTTGCCGAAAGAAGCAGGAAGGCGATTCAGATTTTGGGGGCAACGAACGAGGACTTTTTAGATTCCCACAAAAAGATTCAGTTCATCCAAACAGTACTTGCTCTGTGAGTAGCCCCGCGTTTCCATCGACTTGTTGGCCTCCTCGGAGGCTGCCCCTGCCCGGGTGACATTTGTCTGCTCCTTGATCTGTCTGGCCCAGGGAAGCCCCTTCTAGAAGGGGTGGAGTTGGAAGGTATTACCAGCACCACATCAGGCAGCGGGAAGCAGGAGAAGTAAAGGAAGCAAACGCCCCCCCCCCCACCCCGCCCCGGCCCCATCCCGGCCCCGTTCGCACGGGGAGGCCGGCGGTACTCACAGCCCGTCCATCTGCAGAGTTCACCTACAGGAAACGGCTCGCGGACATTCGGGAAAGGACGCTGACCCACAAAGGTGGTAAAGAGCAGGGCGCTACACCCCGAACGCGGCAACGCAGGAGAGCCTGCCAGAGACACTGGCTGATGAGACGTTTGTGACCAAATAGTCACAGATGCGAGTGTGCTGTCATTGCGATCGCTTAACGCACCATGCGCTCGGAATAGTCCAGAGCTGTGGTCGAGGGAAACGTGGCAAGGAAGTGACACTGGGCTTGTTTGCGGGGAAGCCCAGAGCTTGTCCTGGGGTCTGTCCGGCGCCCTGGACTGCGTCCCCGCCCCCAGGGCCCCGGCTTTCTCTGCGGGGCATCCTGACTGGCCTGGGGGCAAACCAGGGATTGTGTTCGCGGTATGATTCACCTGCTTCTCCCCCCGCAGCTCACGGTGGGCACCGTCAGTTTCGTGTGTGTCCGGGGCACGTGGCTGGGTGGCATGTCTTGACCTCGGGCCTGGCCCCAGGTGGCTGCCTTCCTACTCAGAGATGTGCTGGGCAGGGTGTAGGGGGGGGGGAGTCCCCCTGAGACACCGGGTACTGGGGGAAGCTCTCTGAAGAAGCTTGCCTCTGGCACAAGTCGCTTCAACAAACAGGACGGTTTCTGCACGTGGGGAGTCGTCCCTGACCCGGGAGACCCACAGAGTCGGTGAGAGTGACGGGGAGGGCTCACCTCGAGGCTCACGGGGCAGGGAGGAGGTGGGAGGGGTGGAAGGCGTGCTAATCGGGGTGAGGCGGCCTGTGCTCTGAGGGCGCGTGTGGGTGAGACCATTCCATCCTGGGGCATGTGAACCCCACCCCAGCTGCTCGGGACCCCGGTGGTCCAAGGCGATCTGCGTGGCCTGGGCAGCCACGGGGTGGGCGTGACAGAGAGGGAGAGCGCTTCTGGGGAGGGGGCACAGACCTTCGTGTTTAGGTCTCCCAAATTCAGGGCACAGCTCTTGACCAGCTCCTTTTTCCTGGCTCACGGGGCATGACCCGTGGGTGAGTGAGTGACCCCCAGGAGGCGGGAAGTCATTCCCTGCAGGCAGCTGGAGGGGGGACTCCAGTGCAGACCCCGCCCTGGGGTATGAGTTCCCCACCAGCTCGTGACCTTGGGAGGCCTCGCTGCCCTCCTGGGTCGCTGTAGGACTCAGATGGGGAGATGCCCACGCCGCCCTGGCACAGCGTGTCCACCGTAAGCACCCGGTAAGTGTTGGCTGGGCTGGTGGCTCTTGCCCAAAGAGCTCACGCTCCAGTCCTCCAGTTCCCAAGTGAAGGTAACGGCTGCCCCCCATTCTTCACGAGGAGCCAGTCAGACGCACGTCCTGCACAGAAGACACGGGTGAACGCTCAGCCTCGTCACAACCCACAGACTCACAGCAGAAGGGAGCGCGAAATGTTAATTCAGCCCTGAGAAAAGCATCTGCGTTTCACAAGGGCCCACCTCGCGCCCCGTCTCCCACCCACCATGCTCGCCGCGCCACACAGCCGGCCTTTGCCCTCGGAGGTCGGTGTCACTGGGTTTTCTGTCTTTGGGACTCTGCTCCGGGAGCACTCTGGTGGTGGGACCCCTGCAGCCAGAGTCCCAGACACGATGGAGCAGCATTCAGCCACCCGCCAGCGGACGGGGCAGACGACCTCCAGGGGCAGGAGGCAGAGAGCATCCTGCCCAGGGCTGAGGGCTTAGCACTCACCCAGGGCTCCTTTATGTCAGCTGTGGGCGTTGAGTAGACGTGGCTCCCGATTATTGAGGGCGCGTGGACGCGGGAGACCTCCCCCAAGGCTGCTGCTCAGAGACCCCGTGGCCAGAGCCAGGCCCGCCCAGCCTCCACCGCCCGCTCCGTAATGGGATCGGGATTAAATTGGGAGACTTCTAAGATCCCTTCTTGCTGTCTCATTGTTTCCACTGAGCTGTCACTATCTCGCTTGAATTCAGAATTCGTGGCAATATACGTAAAGCTCTCATATGGCACCTGGCTTGTGCTCGATCAAAGGGGTTTCTCATCTCCAGCTTCCTGTGGCTGCCGTGGTGGGAAGCAGATGATAGGTAGACGGACAGTAAGTATACGGACAGGCAGATGATGGATCCGTATGTCTCGAGAGCTCAAGAAAGTGTGTGTACTGAAAGCCATGACAAAACCATGAGATGTTTCGTAGGCAAATACTGCTCTCATCTGTGGGAGAAGAGGTTTTTTTGTTTCGTTTTGTTTTGTTTTTGTAATTTCAGGAAATTTTATTCATATCACCAATATGTAAGACTAATTATTTACTTATTAAACAGAAGTTTGAATTCTAAAAATATTGAAAATAGGATGTTTGGGGGTTTTGCTGAACATTCTAGTTTTGGGTTTCACTAGGGTTACAGAGAATCAAGTAGAAAATCTTACAGATATGCATCAGGGAAGAGAGTAAGAATATTCTCTTGAACTATTTTCCTATTTACCTAGAGAATATATGTTTCCTTTTTATTTTATTTTATTTTATTTTTTTTTGACCATCAATCTCCAGTTTGCATTTATTGAGTACTGGTCCGTACCAGATACTGTGCCGAAAGCTTTTTGTTCATTAATTATTTTAAATTTTTTTATTATGAAATTTATTGTCAAATTGGTTTCCATACAACACCCAGTGCTCATCCCAATAGGTACCCTCCTCAATACCCATCACCCACCCACCCCTCCCTCCCACCCCCCATAAACCCTCAGTTTATGAAAGAAATTGAAGAAGATATAAAGAAATGGAAAAACATTCCCTGCTCATGGATTGGAAGAATAAATATTGTTAAAATGTCAATATTACCGAAAGCTATCTACACATTCAATGCAATCCCAATCAAAATTGCACCAGCATTCTTCTCGAAGCTAGAACAAGCAATCCTAAAATTTGTATGGAACCACAAAAGGCCCCGAATAGCCAAAGTAATTTTGAAGAAGAAGACCAAAGCAGGAGGCATCACAATCCCAGACTTTAGCCTCTACTACAAAGCTGTAATCATCAAGACAGCATGGTATTGGCACAAAAACAGACACATAGACCAATGGAATAGAATAGAAAACCCAGAACTAGACCCACAAAAGTATGGCCAACTCATCTTTGACAAAGCAGGAAAGAATATCCAATGGAAAAAAGACAGTCTCTTTAACAAATGGTGCTGGGAGAACTGGACAGCAACATGCAGAAGGATGAAACTAGACCACTTTTTTACACCATTCACAAAAATAAACTCAAAATGGCTAAAGGACCTGAATGTGAGACAGGAAACCATCAAAACCCTAGAGGAGAATGCAGGGAAAAACCTCTCTGACCTCAGCCATAGCAATCTCTTACTTGACACATCCCCAAAGGCAAGGGAATTAAAAGCAAAAATGAACTATTAGAACCTCATGAAGATAAAAAGCTTCTGCACAGCAAAGGAAACAATCAACAAAACTAAAAGGCAACCAACGGAATGGGAAAAGATATTTGCAAATGACATATCGGACAAAGGGCTAGTATCCAAAATCTATAAAGAGCTCACCAAACTCCATACCCGAAAACAAATAATCCAGTGAAGAAATGGGCAGAAGACATGAATAGACACTTCTCTAAAGAAGACATCCGGATGGCCAGCAGGCACATGAAAAGATGCTCAACGTCGCTCCTCATCAGGGAAATACAAAACAAAACCACACTCAGATACCACCTCACGCCAGTCAGAGTGGCCAAAATGAACAAAACAGGAGACTATAGATGCTGGAGAGGATGTGGAGAAACGGGAACCCTCTTGCACTGTTGGTGGGAATGAAAACTGGGTGCAGCCACTCTGGAAAACAGTGTGGAGCTTCCTCAAAAAATTAAAAATAGATCTATCCTATGACCCAGCAATAGCACTGCTAGGAATTTACCTGAGGGATACAGGAGTACTGATGCATAGGGGCACTTGTACCCCAATGTTTATAGCAGCACTTTGAGCAATAGCCAAATTACGGAAAGAGCCTAAATGTCCATCAACTGATGAATGGACAAAGAAATTATGGTTTAAATACACAATGGAATACTACTTGGCAATGAGAAAGAATGAAATATGGCCTTTTGTAGCAACGTGGATAGAACTGGAGAGTGTGATGCTAAGTGAAATAAGTCATACAGAGAAAGACAGATACCATATGTTTTCATTCTTAGGTGGATCCTGAGAAACTTAACAGAAGACCATGGGGGAGGGGAAGAAAAAAAGATGGTTAGAGAGGGAGGGAGCCAAAACATAAGAGACTCCTAAAAACTGAGAAGAGGTTTTAGAATTACGCACAACAAGAGAAACCTGGGGATGTTTTCTGGCGCAGAATGCTGCAAATGACTGCCCGCCTTTCTTCCAAGGTTTCCCTTTTCAAATGTCATTTCGTGCTTTTCCCGCTGTTCCAGGGTGTGACTGCTGGTGCCAGCTTCTCTCTGACACCTCACTGGCCCTGACCAGCAGCGCTGGCTTTGCCCGACTGTGCCAGAAATGCAGGATCCCAGCCACAGCCCCTAGGTCACCGTCTTGCGCCTCCACAAGATCCCAGGCGATCCCTGTGCACGTGACAGCTCCAGGCACCTCCTGGCTTCCGCTGGCCTCCCCCACCCCCACCCAGGCAGGGCCGGCCTCCGGCCGCGGGGAGTCAGAGAGTTAGCCGCTGGACAGAGTGGAGCCAAGCTGGCCTGGGCGTGCAGGGACCCTCTCTGCCACTTGGGGCCCAGCAGAGGCAGCCGCGCGGACTCGGGACTCTTCAAGATTCTGGAAGAAGGAGACACTTAATGCACTTCGACCGCTGCCTTGGCCTTTCCCGGCGTCAGCTGCTGTTTCCGTCAGCTACAGACAGTGAGGACTGCAAACGTGAACCATGCAAACTCGGGCGAGCTGGGCAGCGAGCATATGGGGGCGAGTGCCTGTTTGGCAGGGCGGGCCTTGGCCGGCCGGTGCAGGGGGTGCTTGTGCAGGCCTCACCAGAGCAAGCCAGGGCGCCTTCTCCATAACCGTGTGAACTCTGTACTTCCATCCTCTTTCTGAGCTCGGAAAGCCTCGTGCCACGAGCGGACAGCCACCTGTGGCTGCTCTGTGTCCAGCTCTGACACCGGACCGACCCTGGGGCCCCCGAGGCCATCCCGGGACGGGGGTTCAGACAACGTCCAGGAGGAGGCGCTGCCTCTGCCAGACCCTACTGGCCTCGTCAGCCGCGACCGCGATCGAAACCCAGGATTGTTGCTGACGATGCTTCAGCTGAGAATTCCTCCTTATACGTGCACAGTGCGTGGGTTCCAGCGGGAGCCACCCTGAGAAGGCCCAGGGACCGCCCCCCCCCCCCACGTCCCTGCCCTCCCCTGTCCTGGAGCTGGGCTTCTGCGTGAGGCCCGACTGCCCCCACCCCGGGCATGGGAAATGCACTACTGTGGGCCCCCCGACGCCCCTCCCCTTCCAGTCCAGCCTTTAGGATGGGCTTTCCAGACCCCTCCATTCCTGGTGTTCCTCTCCTGCCACCTGCCATCGTGGGCCAGGGGGCCCTTAACAAGCTGCCGTCGAATTGAAAACCATGTCCAGGTAGTTTTCTTGAAGAGATTTCACATTATCCTTTGAAAACCCTCCATTGGTTTGTTTGGAACCCCAGCTCTACCTGTCAGAGTCGTTTCGCAGAACCGACCTCTCCGTGTCCCTGGCTTCTTATCTGTTGGGTGAGGGGATGGGGTGTGAGACCCTGAGGAGCTTGATGATCATTGACTTTGCCCGTTGAACTCACGCAGGATCTTCAGAGGTTGGTTTTGGGCCCCCGTTTGGACCAACGGGCTCGTGCGGATACGGATGACGTTCTCTGCATCTTTTCCAGGCCAAGTGTGCTTGACGGCCCCCCTCCCCCACCTCTCGTGAAGAATGAGCCGGGCTCCGCCTGGCGTGTCCTGTGGCTCAGGCAGCGTTAGCCCCAGGTCTGGATGGTCCCTGAAGAGCCAGGGCCATCTTGTCCTGCCCCAGACGCACCAGCCCGGTCTTATCTGGGTCGCAGGCAACAGCAGTGATGAGGCCCTGAGGCTGCTCCCACCCGACCTGCACGGACTCCTGGTGACTCACCTGATTTTCCGAGTTTGGGTTGGAAAACGTCCCCGGGGTGGGTGTAACACTGTGCACCTTACAGCGTTAGGATAAACATGAAAAACCCAGAGCGATGTTTTCTTTATAGACCCGTATGAAAACACAGTTTAGGCTAAACTTTACATTAAACCCTGGTTGCAAAGAAGCGTGTTCACCTGAGCAAGCAGTCTCTGGGGTCTTTATCGAAATGACGTTAAGGAGAAGGAGGAATTGGTTACCTGCGGCGATAGGCATCCACGGGGATGGCGGGTCCCAGAGCCGGCTTGATACCCGTGCCATCATTTGTATCGTATATTTTCACTCTGCTCTGAAGCAGAGCAAATAGGTTTTTGTGAGCCAGTGACCTTATGGATTAGCTGTGTTATTTGTGACTTAGTGAAGCAGTCAGTTGAAATATTGAAAATGTTTTCCCAACTCAGTCTGATTTCAGTGTGCCGCAGAAGGACGCGACGTCCCCTTCCTAATGAATAGTGAGGACCGCTTGCCTCACGCCGTTGGGAAGGGAGGGGACCTAACCTTACACAGTGCGGCTTCTGCCACGCCCAGAGAGAAAGCTCACGTTGACAAAGCGGTCAAAGCAAATCACACTTGCTAGCTTGTCTTCAGCTGGGAGAACGTTCATCTTGCTTAGCTCGGTACTTAGCAGTGGATACGGTCTCCCGGGGGATCCCGGTGCCGCAGAGTCAGGACCCGCCGCCGGCCTCGAGCCAGCCTCTGGTACCGCGGCCCGTGGGCAGATGTCCCCTTCCTCCCTTGCCGCGTGTTGGGGTGCGGTGCAGGGCCCC